AGCAACAAAAAACACTTCTGGGGTAATTTGGGTGGATTTTCCATATCTCTGGCCCCCCTTTGTCGATTTTGCTGATTGACATCTCTTTCGAATCATTAGAGCCAATAGAATCGAAGGGAGGTTTCCCCACAAACACACATGGTAAAACAAAAAAGGTGTGGGCTTCGCGCATGCAGGTTTGCACCAGAGTGAACCTATCTCTAGCTCTGACATCTGGAAACGGAAAAGCAGGTTTATTTGCTTATGGATTATCAGAAATCATTTCAAAGGGACACGGACACATTGGATTAACCTATGGATTAACTTCAGCAGCGTTTTTATCGTTTTAATGCCATTGAAGACCACTTTTGACCAGACTACGACACAGGTAAGCCATGTTAGCGTTTTTAGCTACCTAGCGCCACATGTTTTGATGTCTGTTTTTGTTTACAAAGTCGCGAGTTCGTATCATTGAGTGATAATGTCTGTACCCATCGATTCTGTGTAATCTCACAATCAGATCGATGTGTTGGATGTGCAGAAAGGATAAATAATAAGGTTTTGGTGCACTCATCTGTTAGCATTTTTCGCTTGTTGATAATTCAGAGGCTTAGCGTTAGCATTGTTTTTTTGGTTTTTTTTAAATAAATAAAAATGATCAGTTAGACGAGTTTCTTCCCGTTACATGGATATAAAACATTCATAGTTTATTAAATGAACATGCCCTCAGACACTGTTTCCTGCAAGATGTTGCGGAAGGGCCCCGGTACCGGGGTCTCTCGGGCTTAACAGGTCCTTTGTCTTTATCTTTATGTCAAAGGTGTTACCGTTGAGCGGGGTTCAGAGCGATTGCCCTGGGCTGGTCCAAGTCCATCCAGAACAGGACCTTCCTTGAGGTGCCGTCCAGGTTGGCCACTTCGATACGATTGGTCTCCGAGTCTGTCCAATAGAGCTTTCTACCCAACCAGTCACAGGCCAGCCCATCAGGACTGTCCAGCCCCGACACCACCACAGTCTGCCCAGTTCCCAGAGCCTCTTTGAGGGCTGCAACACAAAACACACACAGAGTGAGAATGTAACAGGAAGGGCTGGCCTTTGTGAGTAAATCTTCATTAAGCAGTAGAATCAACACAACACGCAGGATGTAGTCTTACAGTTTGATGACTGATTCCAGTGCGTCTGTTTGATGGCCTCTTCACTGACATCTGTCCAAAATATCAGGCCCTCGGAATACAGGAAGTCCACCGCTGCTGCATCCTCGAGGTCACTAACAACGATGGCCGACTCACCCCGCACGCCCTCGGCATCGACCAATCGCACGTCACGCCGGTTGGCAAACAGGAGGAGAGGTGAGCCTGAAAAAGAGTTTCAAAAGAGGATCAAGTAACACATTGGTTCACACTCATATATATATAAACGTTTCCTTAACCCCAAAGTATGCGTTTCAAACTCTCATCTAGAGGGCTTTTGAATTTTTGTGTATGGCCTGTTCATGGAAAACTTTGGAATTTCCCCAGTGGCTGAAAGGAAGGACACTTTTACCCTGCTTGATAAAAGATAAGCTATTTAAAGAGGTTTTTATCACTCTCTTTACAGTTTCTGAAAAACGATGACATTCCTAACTTTAATCTTACGAGGATGGCTTTATTAAAGCTATGAAGGAAATGGATTATTTATCTTGTGTTTAATGTGTTTCCTTTATTTACCTCAGGGGCAAATTAATGATTTGTTTGGAATATTGGACTGTGTTACTGTTGTTATCATCTTTATCTCAGCTTGTTTTTGAATATATGGTTAGACAGCTTAAAAGCCTATCATGTCTGTTACATGACTAAGGCTGCATCTCACAAACAAACATGGCAGCGTACAAAAAAACACTGTAGAAAACTATGTATGCATCCAGCCACAGAGAATGGAACCAGCATTTCCATTTTCACTGAAGCCCCTTTAGACAAAACAACATGTCCTGCTGACCCTTATGCTGTTCGTGTTGTAGCAACAGTAAAAGAACAGAAAAAGTTGGACAGTACATCCCAAGAACAAAGCTCAAAAACATAAAACCTCTAACATGTTTGCCATCTGGCAACAATCAGCAGCGAATAGAGAAAAAACATTTTGTATGCACAAACAAGTTTTACAATAATATTTCTGTCCTAGAATGCTTCATAAACTTTCCCCAAAAAAGTTGGACGACACGTATAGGAAATGCTAACGCTCACTAATCAACATGGTACGAAAGCAAGAATGTGAACGCTAACAGAACGCCTGCAGAGTATGTATATGTCAGAGCGCAGATTACTGTGTGTGTGTGTGTGTGTGTGTGTGTGTGTGTGTGTGTGTGTGTGTGTGGTAGCTGTCACACAGAGCAGAGCCTCTGGGGAGGCTTGTGGTTTTGGCCTGGCAGGGTGGCAGAGCTGCTGCGCTGTGGTTTGGCACAACATGTCTACTGTAATCCCAGCATTAAGACACACGGCCTCTGTCTGTGTGATGCTGTCCTAAAACAACACCAGGTCATTCAAACCTAACATTGAATTGAATTAATGAATCATTGATTGAACAATAAAAAAGTGATTCTGCAGTGTATATGTGATGAACGGGAGGAGGAGGAGGAGGAGGAGGAGGAGTGGAGGATTTTGTGGAGTTGACTAGGCTGGTCATCGACTGCAAAACGGACACTTTTGGAGTTGTTGTGAAGAGGAAAATGGAATAAACTGATAGATATGATGGATAATCCGGACTGCCACAAGCTACGGGACAAACAGCAGAGCTACTTTTCTAACACTGATTCAGCTCTGCTGTTACAGGGACCGATGCAGACAAGATGTCCTGCCAACAGCTATAACCCTCTACAGTTTCTTTTTATAACCAGATTCCACTCTCATATACTCTTTATATGACCCTAAACAATTTGTTTATGTTGCACTCACACTCAACTATACCTCATTGAATTTAAATTCAAATCTAATTTCTTTATTTTAATGTATTGACATTTTTTCAGGAATACTGTTTATCCCTCCAGTAGAGTTCCTCACTACTGGAACACATATTATCGACAGAAAGAAAATGTCTATTTTAAACTACTTGGTTTCAAATAGTTGTCTTACACATTTCAATAAGCAGTTTGTATAGGTCTTACTGTGCTGTATGTTTTGGTTTTGTTCGTACAAGAAGACATGCAATGAACACAGGCACTATAGAGGTAACTTCCATCTATTAAGCTAACATGATCGCAGCAATATGACTTCACAATCATGCAGCTATAAAAAACTAATGAAAAGGCTGATCTATGAACAGATCAAAAGTCCATAGGAACTGACACATATCAAAATAAATGTCAGGATATCAGAGAGGGGCAGAGCACACATTGGGGGGCCCTTGAGGTCACCTCTGGCCTAACAGAGACGCTCCACTGAGGATTAGTGCTGCTGGCTAACCTCCTCGGCCAACTGGTGAGAGGAAGGGCCCCTGCATGCTGGATCCAAACATTGCACTCATGGTAGGGCTGCTCAATTCATCGTACTTTAATCACAATTACGATTATGTCTTGCAACGATTACGAAAACAACGTAATCGAAATAAAACGACTATTTTTGTATTGTTATGACTTTATTTGTTTTTCAAATATTTTTATTTTTTATTGGTTTTTCAGTTGAATTATACTTAAAGTTCAGGGTAATCAACTGTTAAAAACATACTGTTCACATTTTTTTTCTCCAATAAATTGATGTTTTCAAAGTAAATGGATAATCGTTTTTAATAATCGTGATATCAATTATTGACCCAAATAATCGAGATTATGATTTTTGCCATAATCGAGCAGCCCTAACTCATGGAATACATACACATGTTTGTTCCACAAGAAAAGGATCATACCAGAACTTTAGGAAATGACCTCCCAACATAAATGTGCAGACAATTTGACAGGTTTGTCTTTACGTTGATTTTCTGTATGAGAAAAACCCCTTCAAACAAGGCCCAAGTCTGGTACCAGTTCTGCTACTAGGGCTGTCCCAAATACAATTTTTCGGGCTCCGGATATTTGGTAGTAATCAGCAGCGAATATTCGACCCGCACGGGGGGGTGGTAATCAGCAGCGAACCGCTTCAACACGTGTATTTCGGTTTATTCACTGCATTCATTTTGTTATTCTAGAGCAGGGGTTCCCAAACTTTTTCAGCATGAGACCCAAAACAGAAATGTTGTGGTCCTAAGGGACCCAAGCTAAAAAAATGTCAAGATTTTCCATAATATCTACATTTATAAACAAAGAATGCAACACACCATGAATTTAAAATGTAAATGAAAATGTTTATTTAATTATAAAAGTGCTTCGCAGCAATTAGGTTTCTCACCATAAAAACCTTCCCTTTGAGCTTGCCCAGAAAAAATAAGGATCAAAGCAAAAAGACGAAACATGGGAAGTGCAGTCAAGTATATACAGTACAAATCTAATTTAAATGATACAATTAACAAAAGTGCAATATTAAGTTTGTCACTAGCTCAAAAACTATNTGTGTGTGTGTGTGGTGTGTGTGTGTGTGTGTGTGTGTGTGTGTGTGTGTGTGGTGTGTGTGTGTGTGTGTGTGTGTGTGTGTGTGTGTGCCGTGTGTCTCAAGACAATTCTACCTGAGACTAATTCTACATTTCGCTCCCTCGGAAGAATGAGGTTCGTCTGTTTCCGTCCTCTTACCAACACACACACACCCACACACGTCTTTCCCCACGTCGTCACGTAACGGGATGTGAAATCTTTGAAGAAAACCTGGAAGAAAGAAAAGTTCGACGGTGGGAGTCATCCGATGCTGGAGGAGGGGGGTTTGCGTGTGTGTGTGTGTGTGTGTGTGTGGTGTGTGTGTGTGTGTGTGTGTGTGTGTGGTGTGTGTGTGTGTGTGTGTGTGTTGTGTGGTGTGTGTGTGTGTGTGTGTGTGTGTGTGTGTGGTGTGTGTGTGTGTGGTGTGTGTTGTGCGACTTCCGCGCAGAGGGGGGGAGCATTGAAGCTAACAATTAGGGTAACTGTATGAGTTTACATCAAAAAAACTAGAGAAAGGAAGCACAAAACAACGTGGCTACACGACTGTGTGTGTGGTGTGTGTGTGTGTGTGTGTGTGTGTGTGTGTGTGTGTGTGTGTGTGTGTGTGTTGTGTGTGTGTGTGGTGTGTGTGTGTGTGTGTGTGTGTGTGTGTTGTGTGGTTGTGTGTGTGTGTGTGTGTGCTGTGTGTGTGTGTGTGTGGTTTGTGTGGTGTGTGTGTGTGTGTGTGTGTGTGTGTGTGTGTGTGTGTGTGGTGTGTGTGTGTGTGTGTGTGTGTGTGTGTGTTGTGAGAGAGTGTGTGTGTGTGTGTATGTGTGTGTGTGTGTGTGTGTTGGTGTGTGGTGTGTGTGTGTGTGTGTGTGTTGTGTGTGTTGTGTCACGCGGTCCACGTCACTACAGTAGACAGAAGTGAATATGTTGTAAATTATCGTCAACCATCCAAATCGACTTTATACAACGCATAAAAGATAAATAATGTAAGATAAAGTTCGTGGTTACACACCATATTTATTTTTTAATCTACATCATTAATGGAAAAAAAACTGCTTGTCCTTCAATTTTCCGGTCAACAAATTTACTTTTTGTAGAAATAGTCTCGGTTGAGGTTGTGAAATACTAACTGGGACAACGACTTCATTACGGATAAAGTAGGTCTGTAAGTATATGTGGCTAAATCATAATGTACTTACAAAACACACATAAAAAAAGTATCAACCAACTGTCATGCGTAAATACTCTTTCTTCTGTTTGAATGTAAAAATTTTGCGTGATAAAGTCCCAAGCATGCCCACGAACTTTAGGAACTTTTACCGAACGTAAAAATTGCTCCACAAAAGTACTTGAACTTTTCACGAACTTAAAAGACTCTTACCACGAACCTAAACTCTATTTCACGAACTTTAACATTTACGAAATGAAAATGTTATTACGACAGAACTGACTTATCAAGCCCGCAAAAATCTAATTTTCTTTTATTCTTCAGCTCGCTTTCGAATCAACGAAGCGAAGATGTAATTTTGGTCGAGGCGGAGGCCGGAAGGCGCGATACGCGCGGCTGGGACGTTCACAATAAAAGCACACTGGACCGGTTAAGATTTACTCTCTTACTGTCATACACGGTCCTCAACGACAAATTGGCTGGCAACCGATAGGCTTTTTCTTTATGTTCGACACCGATTTTGCTCCTAGTTCGGGTTGCTAAGCCCGGAAGACGTGTCAAACCGGTCGGCTTCTTTAAGAGTAATAAGCGCTACCCTCTCAGAGCCGCGACTCGCTCGGTATACCTTTCCATCGCATTCATCCGTCAAAACCTAATCCAATGTGCAA